ATGCCAGATATTTTTAAAGGCCTTTCAGCTCTTGCAGTTCAAGATGTGAGCTAGCCACTAAGTCAAATGGGAAAGTTCTCCAGCATAAGCACAGCAAGTATTAACGGTCTCAGCATTAATATCCTTCTGCTTATACTCTTTAATTGGTTAATTATACCCCTCACTAATGTGCATCGTTAATATGTGATGCCTGCCCCAAAAGAAGAGAATGTTTTCAAGCTGTTCTTTAAGACTAAGTCTGAAAATTTAGAGATAAAGACTGCAGCTTTACAACACGAAACGCCAAACTCTCACCGTTAGGTCATCCTGGAAGACAGAAACACAAAAACAAGAACTTTTACAGAGTCGCTAATAAGAAAGAACTCAACAAGCCCAGCCTTTAATACAGCACGTTGCATTAGCAACGTTCATAATAAAGGCAGGAAAACATTACGGAACAGAGAAAAGGCTGGAACAGCCACTGAGCTGAACTGGCGCGAGAGCAGAGTCCCGGCTGTCAGCACATTACTCACCAATAAGAAATGTAGCAGGCAGAAAGCTTGCAGGCTCAAATTCTGTCATATTAGAACATTGTTACAAGTCAGGAAGGAATGGAAAGTCATATGCGGGAAAAAAAAAAAAAAGGCACGGGAGATGGCACAATCATCTTTGCGCTAACTGAACTCCGTCCTTTTCCAACCACCAGCTTGAAGCTTTCATTATTGGGCATGTTTTTAGAAGATCCATATACTTTTTACCCTTTTTGCCTTATTAGAATATCGTTTTAGATGCCTCAAGAATAGCAGTGGTACACAGTGCTGGATTTAAGTTGACAATTACTGTGAGCAACAAAAGCATTTCACTTCTAGCCTTGATTAATCATTTTTAGTTCACGCTTTACATTAATTTGCTATTCATCAACTTTTTGAGGGAATTTGTGTACTCATTCACCTATCAAACATGTCTGCAACTAATGCTTCTCTCATACCCATTCTGTAGCCCAAGTGGCTTACCTAAAGAATATTCTAATTCAGAAAAGAGGAAAAAAAAGTACATGAAATTACAAAAAATAAAATAAAATTTCATATTGCAATAAAAAATTCTAACTTTCCAGGTAACACAAGAAACCAAAACCTTTCTGTTTTCATAACTACATACCTTTATATTCACAAATGAGTTTATATGGTGTAGAAGGCATATAAAATAATTTAGACTTACGAAAAAGTTATCTACCTTAAGTTCTGAAAGTTCTCAATGCTTTGTAAAGACAACTAAAAAAATCCTACAACATGACAAAAGCAAGCAATACATCCAATACACATACAATCCATGTGATATTGATATTTATAAATAACTACATTGCCTATACAGAAAGTCAGATTACAGGGAAGGAAAGGGCTGAGGGCAGGAGAGGAATAGGATCCTTTGACAGAGCTGCTTTCTCCCAAAACAAACAAACAAACAAACAAACAAACAAACAAAGTCTCGCCTTCAAATGGAAGCTCACGTTCCTTAGAAAGGTACTATCAGAGCCTGTACTGGTTCAGCTCAATAAAAATCTGATGATGCATTCTTTGTGAAAATACCAATCGATGAATGACTGAAAAGAGTATCCGATATTTCCAATTAGCAATATTTAATAAATCTTTCCAGAAAACCCCTGTGTACACTGCTTGGTATTGATAAACACATGTATCTAGTAACACTGGGAGACAGAATAGAACACTCAAGGGAATATTCCCGTCCCAGTGTGGTTCTGGAAACGGACCTTAGTCTCATCCATCAAAACTTGTAATGATTTTCTCATTAGCCGAGATGAACAGTCATCCCCTCCCCTTCTCTCCCCCAAAACAGATAGGATATGTGATGAAGAGATCAGCAAAACTAGAGGGACTAAAGGAACTTCACTCAGACTTGCATTAGAATTTGAAAAGAATCCCCAAAGTCAAGAAACTAAAAGACAGGTGATCAGATGCGCTTGAGTTTCTATTCACTTAAGACTGCACACAGTCTCCCTGTCCACCACATTGACCAAAACCCTCTACCTTAAATTCTCTTTGCAGGCATTTTTATTTCACAGCTGACAGCAGGAAAAACGTAAGCTGTCACTTAGTATCACTCAGCTGACGAGCGGCAACTTGTTTAGCCACGGTAACACTAGCATATTTGATATCCAAACAATTATTCCCTCGTGTCCAATTCTGCCCAGTCAAACAGCGTTTTACTGAACAAATTCATGCTAGCTTTCCTCTAGTTACCTTCTAAGATAGCTACCTGTTTCATTTCAGCAATACCACAAAAATTCAACTAAAACTTTACCTACGTTCTTTTCAGACTGCAGTATAACTTGTTTTTTTAGATCTGTCTTAGATCTAACAATAAAATGCCAAGTTTGCCATTTCCCAGTCTTCAAAGGTCTTTGCTGTTATACCTGAAATGTCAAAAGAACTACCAAGCTCTGTTTCCAACAACAGAACCTCAGTTTAACAGGTACCCTTTAGATATCCTTTCCTAA